TGGCTGGGGCAGGCTCTTTTCGGATGCACCTTCCCGCAGTTCCTGCGGCTGCTCTCTCCCTGGCGGGGCCGTGGACCAGGCTGGCCCACGGCACCTTTTTTAGCCTTGGTGATCTTTTATTTTTTTATTTTTTTCCCCCGCGGAGGCACAGGGAACAGCTGCTAGTTATGAGCACAAGCACTTTCCGGTTTTCCTCCTGGGTGGTGGAGAAGGAAGGGGGGAATCGCTGCTGATATTCCTGCCCTCTCTTCTCAGCTTCGGTTCCCAGCCTGCAGGGAGATGGCATCCCTGGCTCGGGGCATCCCTCTGTCTCTCCATCGCTCCAGGACAGCCCCTGCCTCTCCTCCTGTCCCCCACCCCGAGCCTGGGTCCCACTGGCAGAAACGGGGAGCGGGTGGCAGAGCAGGGTGGCCTCGGTGGCCAGGATGGCCCTCGGTACGGGGGACAGCACCGCCAGGGCCGAGCGATGGCAGCAAGTGGGATGCAGCCGCGTCCCCCCCACCTCGGCAAGCACAGCGCTGGCGAAACCCTCCTGTACAGGTACAAAGCACAGATCTCGTAGTAACTCGTCCCATGTAGCCTCGTAGCCGGTCTATTTACCAAGTGTGCTGTGCTGGCCGGACTCCTCCTCGGGAGAAACCCTGTAACAGCTGTAACAGAGTCCGATTAAAAGTCTCTTCTTACCGAGCTGCCTCCGTGTCCTTTCTTGGGGTGGCCTTCGGGGTCTTGCTGAGGCTTGGGGGGGGGCAGAAAGCTGAAGCTGGAGCGGCCCCGAGAAACAGGGCTGCAGCCTGGAGGGGGGCAGCACTGCAGAGGCGGGAAGTTGGAGGGCTGTCTGCACCCACGGCCGTCCCTATTTCTGCCCATGCATCTGTCCTCTCTGGTCACCTGTATCGTCCTTCTGACCCACTTTCTCATCCCTCCATCCTTCTCCTTTTTTTTTCCCGGAAGTGCCCATCCACCCCTCCATCTCTGGAGAGGGGAATGAGGTCTTTGTCGTCTGTTCGTACAGCTCCTGGCACGAAAGGCTCAGAGTTTGCAAGCGGCGCTCCCGCGTCTCCCTGCCCTGTCCTCGTCCAGCCCTGCTGCTGCCGGAGGCTCCCGAAACACTGCGGAGGGGAAGACGTTTCCCCCAAGGGACCCGAATCATTTACAGCATCCCCAAAAGATGTCACCTGCTGGGTATCTTCTGGACCAGGCCTGGCAGGGAAGTGGGTCTGCCCAGGGAACCCCAGGGGCTGACTCTTCCCTTTCCTTTTGCAGCTCCTTTGCCTTCCCCAGGGCCGATCCGAGCACGGAGAGGGGTGAAGGAAAAGCTGACAGATGGGACC